CGGCGCTGACACGTACAGATTGGCAGAACTGCTGGGCGGCACTGCTGGGCGATGATGGACAGCACTGTTGAGCACTGAAGGGCAGCACTGCTGGGCACTTTTGGGGCTGCACTGATAATCAGATGTTTCCTTTTACAGTTGCCGGTTATCGGCAGTACTTTCCTCACGCTGTGACAGCCTGAGGAAAGTACTGCCGATAACCGGCAAGAGTATTTATGTGGTGATCACCTGTGATTGGACCCAGCTGATCACATGGTAAAAGACCTCTGTGATTGGCCTTTTACCATGTGAGGTGATCAGCTGTGTCCAAAGGTCACAGCGATCACTGACAGGGCCTGGTGTGTGCGGGGACATTATATGCGCCCTCCTAGAACTGGATGACCATGCTGTAGCAGTCATTCAGCTTTAGCTCAGTACGAAAGTGGTTAAAATAAAAAACCACATAGCACATACACACTATATGATTTCCTATGTTCTAGTACTTGCAAAATGAAGGCTAAGAAATAAAAACTCAATAATTTAATGCCGAAATCTAAAATGCTGTGTAAGTAGATATGGTTTTACAGCAATTTAAGTAAGTGAAATCTGGTTTACAACTCATCTTTAGCCAGTAGACTTTTGATTCTAGGCTATTACTTGCTTTTTCCAGTTCTCTTTAAGAGCATACATTATAAAATGCTGAAAGGGACAGTTTCTCTTACAGTGTCAATGACCAGACATTAAAGGCAAACAGTGACTGTCGTAATTATATGACATTGCATTTAGTCCACATTGTACTGGATTGATTACTTAAGCAGTTTTATTCAAAGAAACACACATTCCACATGCGCATCTTGACAGTGCTGCTACGTGCCAAGACAGAAGGAAAAGGGCTTTGGAAATCCTTATACTTATCTATTGTATAAAACCGGGTTATGGAGGAAATCATTAAAGGTACAATACATACCAACACACCAATACAATAACAGCATACCAATATCTGAAAAAGTCCACAGTGATGCAATATGATTGGTTTGTTTAAACTTGTTAATGTCACATCATCATATGAATTATTTTATACATTATATTTGACTGTATATTTATGTATTGTGTATAATGTTTTTTGGCTATACTTGCAAAACTTTTTTACTTGCTATTTTCAATTTTGATCAAAGACACTATTAGGATTTAATTTCTTATAAATGCTTACTTCCCACCTGCAGAAGAATATTTTTAATGGTGTTTTTGTTTCAAGTTGTCTTCCTCCTTTTATTATTATTATTGTTATTATTCTACAGGATTTATGTAGAAGCTTTACAAAATTAAGGTAGTCATTACATTTACAATACAATTGGGTACAAGATGAATCAGAGGGTCCTGCTCATTAGAGCTTACAATCTAAGAGGGAAGGACAAGTGATGGGAAAGGTAATAACTGTGGGGGAATGGGCTGATAGAGAAAGTACAAATACAGTGTTAGTTAAAAGCAGGCTAGGCCTCATTAAAGAGAAGAGTTTTCAGGGATCAGACTGATAGTTGTGCTACTGATCTTGACAAAGAAGTCAGGGGAAGGGGCACGTGGGGGAGAAAATAGTATATGCTCAGTTTTGGATAGACTTTTAGATTTACTTTGTAGAATTTTTAGGGAGGTAGAGATTTTATGATATGATTGGCCTTTACTGAACATTGTCTACTTTTACGATAAAAGCGGAAGTCTGTTTCTCAACTTTCTTCATGTTCCTATTTTAGATTTGTCAGAAGCATTAGAAGAAAACTGTATTGTAACTATGGTTTGTTTATGTAAGCAAATATATCTTGACTATCAATTCTCACAGACCTATAGAGCTATATACTTTTTCTGACCCATGATAACCCTAGCATTTACATGTATAAGAAGGCAACTGTTTCAGTGATTGTGCAGTCATTCTTGTTCAGTTACTGTGCAGAACAATTGTTTGCCATTTATTTGTGGTCCCACAAAGCCTTTTATGGTACAGTGGGGTAATGTTTGCAAAGAAAAAAAAAATACACCGAAGCCCTGATTCACACCAGCGAGGCTTTAAAATCGTGCTACTTTAGCGTGATTTCAGTCATGCGGATCAGTGCGATTTGGATGTTCGATTTCATTGTGGCTTGCAACTTCATTTAACAGAAGTCAATGCAAATCGCAATGAAATCACAGAAAAGTAGCGCTGGAACTCTTTTCAAAGTTGCTGGGACTTGAGTCACAACAATTTGAATGATTCCACTTCTGCAAATTGGGTGCGACTTGTCATGCGATTTTGAACTGTAAAATGGCATGACAAAATCATATTGGTGTGAACCAGGGCCAAAAGCAAAAAAAAAAGTAACTTTTTTTTTTTTTTTTTTATTTTAGACATTAGGTCCAATAATAGAAGTAGTTCAATTTGTTCCAGGGTGTATTACATTAGCTGCCAATAGGTGAACAAAAATACATGTCAGAAAACAGATTAAATATATATACACATTTAAGGGAATCCATAAAAAAGTTTAGAAGCCGAAATTACTATATATCACATACGTGGTGGAAACTGGAACATTATGGGGGTCTCTTTGCAACTGGCAGAGTGGCAGAAGTGCTGGAGTAGCTGGCTGATGAAGTCCATACTGTTAGTGGGTGGAACTGGCAGTCACAGTCCTGGGGCAAGATGCAGAAGCAGCTTGGCACCAGAGGAGGTGGTGGCAGAGGAAACTGGGAAGCAGGCCAAAGTCAGCTGTCCGGAGCAGGGCAGCGGGCAGCGTGGGACCGAAACGGCAGGCAGGGTGAGTCCAGGGAGCAGGTCAAGCTCAGTACCAGCCAAGCAAAGCAGTAAAAAATCAGCAGACAAGTCCAGACAGCTGGGAACTGTCACTGTACGTCTGATTTTGCCCTTTTGCATGGAAGTACAAGTGCCAAAATACACACGTGCATGAGCATACTATACTGGCTTTCTGGAAATCTGGTTTACCTTAAAAATCACACATACAGTAAGCTCTATTTTTATATAACAGAGTAGTTTTTTGAATGGAAACATTTTTGGGGCCTGTGTGTTTTTTGTGATCCCACAAAATCTTATAATGCATAGTCTAGGTTTTTTGCCTCATTTTGATTCAGTGTATTTTATAATCACATTATTTTTAAAGCTAATCTCCTCAGACTTTTGTGGTTTGTTTTGAATTGAAATTTGGACGAAGTTTTCCTTATTCAGAAATTCTGATATATCCTAATTTCCAAATAGAACAATAACAAATTGCAACGAATCAAAATTAAACATTAACTAAATTCATTTGTTTCATTCGGATGTTAAAAACATGCCAATAAAATGAATGATTCAAATTCATTCAATAATAGCCGATTGGAAAGAGCGGGGTAACCTGTCGACTGTGGCTTCCTTAAAGTGGTAGCAAACTCTACTTCTTTACTTAGCTCCATTTAAACCTTTAATATAAGACATACATGTAGGTTTCTGTAAATACTTGTGAAGGTGTGCAGTTAAGGAGATTATGCCTGTTCCCTGCGTGTTTACATCATTCGCATGTGCAGCATTTACTGCACACTGATTGAATGCGTGACATGGTGATGTACTCCTCACTTCCAAGCATTGAATTCCCCAAGAGCTCTGAGTATTTTCACTAGGCTCTGCTATATCAAACTACACATGCGTGAGATTTCCGCGGTGGTGTAATAAAAGGGCGGAAGTCAGTCTAGGAATGGCATCAGGAGGTTTCCCTAAAGATGACGCCTGCTTCTGCAACTCTGAAAGAAATAAAACTTCTGCTGCAATAAAAGTAAGGACAGTCCAATGGTGCTGTAACTTGTCTGGTAATGATTGTAATGTGGATTGTAGTGACAATCTGGGGGCCGCCACATGCCTTCAGCATGGGGTGGGTGCTTTGGGGCAGGGGGGAGTCCTGCTTCCCCTTAAAGTACCTTGCTCCCATGTTGTTGAGGGCAAGGGTCTCTTCCCCACAACCTGCACTACTTTAACTGGTAATTGCAACACCGTACACAAACAAAATTTATATCATTTTTGTCACACAAATAGAGCTTTCTTTTGGTGGTATTTCATCCCCACTGGGTTTTTTATTTTTTGCAATATAAACAAAAAAGTACCGAAAATATTGAAAGAAAAAAAACCCATTTTTTTTCTTTCAATTTTCTCATTTCTGTATATTATTATATTATTTTCTCATTTCTGTTATAAAAAATATCCAATAAACTTAAATTTCATTATAAATTTAAGCCGAAATGTATTCTTCTACATGTCTTTAGTAAAAAAAAAAAATCCCAATAAGTGTATATTAATTGGTTTGTGTGAAAGTTGTAGCATCTACAAACTATGGCATACATACTGGAATTTATGCAGCTTTTACTTTGAGATGTTAAAACACAAGGGTAGTACAGACACCCCCCAAATGACCCGTTTTCAGAAAGTAGACACCCTAAGCTATTTGCTGAGAGGCATGTTGAATCCATGGAAGATTTATTTTTTCCACAAGTTTTTTTTTTTTTTACACAAAGTATGGGGATACCACATGTGAGACTTTTAGGGGCCTAGCCACATACAGGAGTCCGAAATCCAATGACCCCCTTTGAAAGCCTGATGGTGCATAAATTTCTTATTTCACTTCCTCAGTTTTCGTTTTCTTTCTACATTTTCCAAAAACTTGTGGCAACAAACGAGATCTGAAAAATACTCACCATTCCTCTTAGCAAATACTTTGGCATGTCTACTTTCCAAAAAGTGGTAATTTGGGGGGGGGGGGGACTATACTAATCTAGCATTTCAAGGCCTCTGAAACTGTGATAGGTAGGCAGGAAGTGTAATGAGCAAATAAAACCCTTTAACCGCCTCCCGCCTGCCATATAAAGTAATGAAGGGCGCAAGGCGGTTCTCTCGTTCTGGGAGGATGTAATATGAAGTCCTCCCACTCTAACCGCACATGCGTGGCTCCGGGAGACATAGCCCTCCTTGGACATAGCGGATCAACGATCAACGGAAAGAGCTGAAGATGTCGGCTCGGTCATGTGATCCGCTGTGTCCAATCACAGCTGATCACATGTAAATAGGGAAATGTCGGTTATCGGCATTTTTCTCCTCACGAGCTGTCACGCTGACAGCTTGAGAGAAGAGGAGAGCCGGTAATCGGCATCCCTCAGAGGGGACATGTACACTGATCATCAGGGCACTGATGATCAGTGTGCCCTGATGATCAGTGTAGCCCCAGCAGTGCCACCTGTCAGTGCCCATCAATGCCAGCTATCATTGCTCATCAATGCCACCTGCCAGTGCCCATCAGTGCCTCATCAATGCAACATATCAGTGCCTACCAGTGCACATCAATGATACATATCAGTGCCCATCTGAGCTGCCTTTCAGTGTCACCTATCAGTGCCAGTCAGTGCCACCTATCAGTGCCAGTCAGTGCCACCTATCAATGCTGCCAATCAGTGCCACCTATCTGCCAGTCAGTGCTGCCTATCAGTGCCAGTCAGCGCCACATATCAGTGCCAGTCAGTGCCACTTATCAGTGCCCGTCAGTGCTGCCTATCAGTGCCAGTCAGTGCCGGCTGACAGTGCCGCCTATCAGTGCCACCTATCAGTGCCATATATGAGTGCTGCCTTTCAGTGCCCATCAGTGATGCCTGTCAATGCCCATCAGTGCCACCTACTAGTGCCTCCTCATCAGTGCCCATCAGTGCCAACTATCAGTGCCCATCAGTGCAGTCTATCAGTGCCCATCACTGCAGCCTCATTAGCGCACATCAGTGAAGGAGAAAAAATCACTTATTTACAAAATTTTATAACAAAAATGTTTTTTTTTTTCAAAAATTTCAGTTGTTTTTGGTTTGTTTAGCAAAAAATAAAACAACTCAGAGGTGATTAAATACCTACAAAAGAAAGCTCTATCTGTCTAAAAAAATGATAAAAATGTCATATGGGTACAATGTTGCATGACCGCGCAATTGTCATTCAAAGTGCGGTAGCGCTGAAAGCTGAAAACTGGCCTGGGCAGAAAGAGGGTATAAGTGCCCTGTAGGCAAGTGGTTAAAAGCCTGAAGGTGCTTATTGGATGTTGGCATCCTGTACATTGCTAGACTATCAAAAAGTCTCTCACATGTGGTATCCTAATACTTGGGAGAAGTAGCAGAAAGAATTTTGAGGTGTAATTCCACATATACCCATGACCCATGAGTGAGCAATATATCATTTAGGTGACAACTTTGTGTGGAAATTTTTTTTTTTCATTTTCCAAAAACTTGTGGTTAAAAATAAATTCTTTTATTGACTCAACATGTCTCAGCAAATAGTTTGGGATGTCTATTTTCCAAAAAAGGGTCATTTGGGGGGGTTTGCTTCTACTATCCCAGCATTTCAGGGTCAACATTAGAAGCTTATGCCACACATCACCCACTCTTGAAGACATAAATTTTTCATATTAATAGGCAACGTTTTAAAAGCCTTTACACAGGAGGTCTAGCGCTAGAATTACTGCACTGATATCGCGCTGCTTATTGCACTGACATATATTCTGAGAGCACACCCTGTTGCTCTCAGAATAAACAGATTGGTGTTACAGGTGAATGGTGTTCCTGTAATGAAAAAAAACAGTGGTTAACAATAAAACACAGTAACAACAAAACATGAACTCAATAAAATAACAACTTTTTCTATTGAAATCTGTGCCAAATATATATGCCGAAGCATAGGAGCGATCTGCCCATGGACCACCCCAGACCCCCATGCTTGGGCATATATGTTCTTTTTTTTTTAAATGCCGATGATAAATCTCATCCAGCAACGCTGTATGCACTGACATATATTCTGAGAGCATACCCTGTTGCTGTCAGAATAAACAGATTGGTGCTGTAGTTGAATGGCATTCCTGCAAAGAAATCTACAACGGTTATCAATAGAACAGTAACTCATTAAAACACCTTTTTTTGGCTTTAATTTTTTTTTTTTTTTTACTTTTTCTAACTTTTTTTTTTATTTAAAAAACTAACTGCAAACCAGACTGACTTTAGGATCTCCCAAAACGCAATAGCCAATTCCCTGACTACCATCTTTCGTGACCCTGTGTAAATGTGTATCTAGACTGTGTTGTGCTGTACCCTATACTAATACACCACTAGCGTGTGGTAGCGAAGGAAGCAATCCTTGAGGCAGAGACCAGGTTGGCCAGGACAGGAGGGACAAAGTCGCATCTTACAGACACATCTTTTTTGAGGTACCAGGAATGGTATCAGAAAAATGCCTCTCATGCAGCTGGCCCACTGCATCTGGATTTGGTGATTGGGCCACAGCACCTTCTGGATACAAAAAGGGCCATATTGATCTCTTCCTGAAATTTTTGGAAGGATCCACTTCATCAAATTGCTTTGTAAAGCACAAAAATGTTGTACAGAGCCAATTAAAATAAAAATAGACACTTTTTTGTACCAGCGTCTGTTTGTCCTTCCACTTCCCTGCATGCAATTCATCATTTTTCAAGCAGACTTTCTCACTCTAAGGCTAGGTTCACATCTATGCAGGTTGCGTTTGAGGCGTTTCTGCATTGCGTTTTGGCAATTGCACTTTTGAAGCATTTTGCATTTCATTTTCATCAACAAAAACGCAATACATGCTTTTCTGCAGCATTCCCATTGAAGTCTATACAACCAAAAATGCAAAGTCCCTGACCCTTTACAAAAAACGCACTGGGTGAAAATGTGGAAATGTGAACCTGTCCCATAGGAAATCATGTTAAACGGACTCTATGTGGCAGAAAATGTTTAGTTGTGAACCTAGGGTAAGTAGGGTATTTATAAGCCGTTGGGGGAAGCCCCAGCAATTAGGTCACATGATGCCACATGAGCCAATTCCAAGATTGTACATATGTCTAAATAGTGGCACGTATGTATAAAAATTGTCCACATATAAGTGGTACCCCATATGGAAAAAGGGTGACATCAAGTCCCAAACTATCTTACCACTGCTCCCTGTGTAGTCTGGTCATGGTAGCATTGAACATGGGTATATGGTGAATGGTCTGTGGACCAATATGACCGCAACTCAAAAAAAACTTTGAATTTGGAAACTGTAATAGGTTTCCTTGTAAATGGTCTGGCAAGGTTTGAGATTGGGTTGGCAGGAGTATATTGCTGTGTGTATAATTTGCTTTGCTTCACAATCAAATTATACAAATCTTCTGTGGAAACAGCTCCATACAAATCAAGGGGAGTAGTTACATTTGCTGTTTCCTTCTGAATTCCAGGCTGGGCAGTGAATGGGGGAAGTACAGGTGCTGCAGAATTTGCAGGCTGATTTGTGGGCAAGCACATCTGGAAGAACACTATTGGCTCTACAGGTTTGTGTTTGAATTCTTGGTGGCTGCAGGACACTATTAGTGCTAGCCACCACACCAGCTTGTATTGCACTTAAGTGATACTGCAGTGCTGGTATGTAAAAGACCAGGATGTACTAAGTCGCTGGTGTAAAAGACCAGGATGTACTAAGTTGCTGCTGCAAATGTGAATCTAAAACCTCAGCAACCTGGGAATGGGGTCACGTATGCCTGACCTTAGCAGGAACCTCTACTCCATAGTCTGAGCTATCTGTCAGGGTGCTGCTGCTCTCTACAGATTTGTATTCTGAGGCAGATTCGGTCAGTGAGGACTCCCCTTCATGCTCATCTGAATCTGACATGCTCAGAATCCTGCAGGCCTCTTCACTAGTGTACCTTTCATTGGACATTGTAGCCACTAAATTTATAGGTACCTAGTGCGATGGGAAAAAAGAGCACCTGGCTGGCAGGGACTGCTTGAGCCGCTACAAAAATTTTTTACCTGCTAGTTCTAGCAGAGATCAGGTCTGATCTTGCTGACAATGCAGTTTTGTACACAATGTATCAAGTGACGGTGATCTACTGACACTGCACTTGCTGAGGGAGGGGGGGGTCAGAGGCATGGCATGTGCGAGAAATATTTTTTTAAAGTGACAATTTTGTATTAAATACAAATTTGTCATTTTTTAAAAACTAAAATCTTCCATGGGCTCAACATGCCTCTCAGCATATTCCGTGGGGTGTCTACTTTCCATAAATTGGTAATTTGGGTGTTTTTGTACTGCCCTGGTATTTTAGCACCTCAAGTAATGTGATCAGAATGTGTCAGAAAGTAAAGGCTGCGTAAATTCCAATATATATATATATATATATATATATATATATATATATATATATATATATATATATATATATATACATACACACACAAGCACACCATAGTTTGTAGACGCTATAACTTTCACACAAACCAATATACACTTATTGGGATTTTTTTCTTACCAAAGACGTATGGTAGAATACATCTTGGCCTAAATGTATGAAGAAATTTGAGTTTATTGGATGTTTTTTTTTGTTAATAACAAAGTAGAAAATATTGTGTTTTTTCAAACTTATCGGTCTTTTTTTTTGAGTAGGGGCCTGTGTGGGCTGCATATATCTAAGGGCCTTGTGTGGCCTGAGGGAAGTAGGGTGGCTATTAGAGGGAGGAGGGAGAAGGGAGCCTTTGGGCTAACTCTCACCTCCCCATCTTCTGTCTATGTACAGTTCAGACCTCCTCAGAGTGGCACCTGCCAAGAATGCCAGCTGTGTATTCTTTCCCTCTCTGATCTTATGATAAGTCATATGACAAAAGGAGACAGGAAGATGACCAGTCTGCTCTCACTCTACTGCAGGGACATCTACTGAGAACTAGGTGTGTTTTAAGCAGTCACCCTCCCGCCCACATCAGGCTACTGGTAGAGGGAGGAAAGAGCAGAATGCTCCCTCCAGCAGTTATCACAGCTCTGTGCTCCATTCTCTATTCTCCAGCTGCTGTCACTCCTGTCATTCAGATAGCATGTAGCTTTGACAACTAAAGCCCCCCTTTGAAAACTGCAAGCAGACAGGTTCCTGGAAGAAGCTGGGCAAACGATGCGGATGCCAGCGAGGGAGGTCCAACAATTATTAAGTATGACAGAGTTTATCTCTGCTTTAAATTCCACAGTTGGTGTAGAGGTCTATCAAGGGACACTCCATGTGTAACAGTACAATAATAATACCAGCCCATACCAGAACCCCACCTTCACCTTGCTGGCATCTGAGTCAAAGTGGAGCTCTGTGCCAGTTACTGATCCAGACACAGGCCCATCCATCTGGTCTGTTAAGAGTCACTCACATCTCATCAATCGATAAAACCTTTGAAAAATCTGATTTCAGATATTTCTTGGCCCAGTCCTTCCATTTCAATTTGTGTGTTTTGTACTGTGGTGGTTGGGTTTCAGCCTGCCTTACCTTGGCCAGGTCTCTGAGCACTGAACACCTTGTACTTCTGGGCACTCCAGGTAGGATGAAATTCTGGAATATGACAGCACTGGAGGATACTGGGTTCCTGGTAACTTCA